GTATTTCATTTCTGTAGAAATCATAATCTTCTTGGTGAGGGCGCACGTAGGTTGAGGCTGCTTGTCTCTCCAGGCAAGCCCGGTCTGAGGTTTGTGTCCAAAAGTATGGCAGGGAAACAGTCCAAGACAGTAAGGCAAAAGTCAGTAGGTAAGGGCAAAGGAGTCCGAAGAAGATCTCTAATCCGTGAATGGTGGGGCAATGTCCTTTGGGAACTGTATCTTCCCGGTTGGGGCCCGGGACCCATGCCTGGCCCCCTCTCCGGGGCTCTTGCGGGCGGCCGCCGTGGGTCCCAGGAACTGCGGAACTCTCCGCTGCGGCTCACACCAATGTGAAGGCGGGGCTCCCCGCTGCGCTCGAGGTCAAGTAGATGCCACCAAAGGCATGGCATCAGGCTGAGCCTCCTTTCTCTGAAAGCCTTGTCACCAGAAGGACTTTGGAGGAAGAGACCTTCCAATATATTGTCGAAGGCTTTCATGGCTGGAATCACTGGGTTGTAGGATTTTCAGGCTGTATGGCTATGTTCTAGAAGCATTCTAGAATGCTTCTAGAACATGGCCATACAGCCCGAGAAACCTACAACAACTCAGACCTTCCAGTACTTCTTTGGTGACTGTAAAGGGCTGGCCACAAAAACCCACAATTTGAGCAATGTATTCAACGAGTAGCACATTTCAAGGAGTTTATTAAAAGAAGTAGACATCCAAGAGGAAAGAGAACAAGGATCTCTGATTCAATACTTAAAAAAAATACAACTGAGAATGAAGAACCCTCATATATGTATATATTATCTTGACCCCGCAGGCTGCTATAAATAACCTTAAATTATTTTACTCATGTATTGTCGAAGGCTTTCATGGCTGGAATCACTAGGTTCTTGTGGGTGTTTTCAGGCTATATGGTCATGTTCTAGAGGCATTTTCTCCTGACGTTTCGCCTGCATCTATGGCAAGCATCCTCAGAGGTAGTGAGGTCTGTTGGAATTAGGAAAATGGGTTTATATATCTGTGGAATAACGGGTGGGGCAAAGAGCTCTTCTCTGTTGGAGCGAGGTGTGAATGTTTCAACTGACCACCTTCATTAGCATTTGAAGGCCTGGCTGAGCCTGGGGGAATTTTTTGTTGAGAAGTGTTAAGAGGTGTAAATATGTAAAGTTGAGTAAATATGTTACTCATATTATGCATTTTGGTATTGTATTGTCAAAGGCTTTCATGGCTGGAATCACTGGGTTGTTGCAGGTTTTTTCGAGATATATGGCCATGTTCTAGAGGCATTTCTCCTGATGTTTCGCCTGCATCTGTGGCAAGCATCCTCAGAGGTACCCTACCTCTGAGGATGCTTGCCATAGATGCAGGTGAAACGTCAGGAAAGAATGCCTCTAGAACAGTGTTTCTTCAACTCCCAGAAATCCTAACAGCTGGTAAACTGGTTGGGGTTTCTGGGAGTTGTAGGCCAAAAACACCTGGGGACCCCAGGTTGAGAACCACTGCTCTAGAACATGGCCATATAACCCGAAAAAACCTACAACAACCCGTTTTGGTATTGCTGGTTTTTATGGAACTTTGTGTGTGTTTAGTAATTTTTTGAGTTTATAATGATGTTACTTTGCACTGTTTTTGACTTGTGTTTTTGTTTATCACCAAGGTATTGAATGTTTTTCCTTATTGCCCAGAAGCCGCCCTGAGTTCCGCTGGGGAGATAGGACGGCCTATAAATAAAATGTTTATTGTAGAATATATGTAGGCAAAGCAGTAAAAAAACCCAGCAAAACAGTAAAAGTCCAATATCCAAGATAATACATAAACTTTAAATGTTTTGTCACGCGCTGGGCCTGTAACAATTGACTTTGAATAGGACGTGCACTTTGTGCCCAGCGGGAAGCCAGGGCGCCTCGAAGAGAGGCCCTCAAGGATTTTCCTGTAGAAATGGTTTTAGAGTCTTTAATGATTTAACAAAGTCCTTTATTATTGAACAAATTAAACAGATACTTCTCAAATCTTCAATGAGACAAACAAATGCTTCAAGGCTTTGAGTCAACTGGTGGCTTCCTTCATCTTGTCCACAAGGGACAGGCAACTGTCTTCGTTAACTGTTCTTTCACTTTAAGAGGAAAACCCTTTTTTAACTTCTCCCAGGCTGTCTACTATCTAAGCTTTACTGACGTGGGTTCTACTACCAGATTCAAACTGCGTCTTGAGCACCGAGTAGACCTACCAGTACAGGCTTGTAGATTCTCCAGGTGGAGTTCTTTGGGTCTGTAAAGCTGCTTTCCCCCGGAATTTCTTAAGAAACCCTTTAGGGCTGTTTCCCTCAGATGCTGTAAGTCTGAGAGGCTGTAAACTTCCTGCAAGAGCTTTGGGACTGTTTTCCCTCGGATCCCCTGTTTCTGTTTCCCCGGAATTCTTAAGAAGTGAAGCTTTTCTGCGGGTGAAGCTACTCCACGTCCTAGAGCTTGGTTTCCTTCTGTAAGACTAACTAAAAATGGCTCCCTCTCCTCCCATGTCCCTGGGAGAAGGGGTGGATCCAAACTTAACAATGATAGACAGGTGGCTTGCCCTATGACTGCAAACTAAGGGACGTCACCTTTGCAAAATCCCTGAAACCTTGGAATGCATGCAAATATTAAAATAGAAAGAAAATGAAGTTGGAGCTCCTGGTACAGACGTACCAGCACATTAAAAGTAAACCAGGTCCATTCGTGCATAGAAATTCATGGAGCAAGGCATTTGAAAACATGGAACAAAATAGCAGAAATTCCCAGGCAAAAATGTAGACTTGGCAATACTTGATACATAGAGCACTTGAAATCAAAACCCGAATGGAATAACGACGTTGCCTTGACTGAGACACTAGACTCCCATGAATCATTAGAAAACCTTTCCAAAGGCCGAAACTGACAGGAACGCATTCTTTCTCACTTTCCCACTAGATAAGAGTTCGTTATCATTCTTTTGTTGTAAATGAGCAGAATGCCAGAAATTCTGAAAGTTCTGCCTCTGTTTACTAAAACTTTTCTTTCTATCCAAGGTTTAACTATCACCTCCCTCTGCACCTGGCAAAGCAATCTCAGCATCATTTTTCAGGCTGTTGCTCAGAGAAAAATGGTGCAAGGTCTTTCCCAGGAATGTGGCCTTGTTCAGGCCTTCTGAACTCCAACCCGGGCAAAACCGCACCCCCAGGCCCATCATCAGGAGCATCATCTCCACTCCCATTATGCACATCGACATGAATATCATTCCCAACATGAACATCATCCACAACGTATTGTCAAAGGCTTTCATGGCCGGAATCACTGGGTTGTGTATGATTTTGCTTTATCGTTTTTTTTGTACTCATATGTTGTATGTATTTTACTGTGTTGTCATTGTGTTTTGATTTGATTTGATTATAATATGCTGTTGAGTTTGGCCTCATGTAAGCCGGCCCGAGTCTCCATTGGGGAGATGGTGGCGGGATATTAAATAAAGATTATTATTATTATTATTATTATTATTATTATTATTGTAGTAGTAGTAGTTTTTCGGGCTGTATGGCCATGTTCTAGAAACATTCTAGAACATGGCCATACAGCCCGAAAAACCTACAACAACCCAATCATCCACAATCACAGGCTGAACAGGCTGATATACAACAATTATACGCACACAGAATTCTTTGTGTGCTTTTTTGTTTATAATCTTGACTAAAGCATTAAAAATGGAAGAAATTTGTCCCTAGAGTTGTGTTGGAGGACATTAGCTTCCTACAGATAACCCTTCTTTGGGCATTTCTGTGTCCTCCAGCGGGATTATATTGTGATATTCTTAAAGAGGTTATAGGTTGTTGTAGGGTTTTTTGGGCTATATGCCCATGTTCTAGAGACATTCTCTCCTGACGTTTCGCCTGCATCTATGGCAAGCATCCTCAGAGGCTGTGAGGTCTGTTGGAACTAGGAAAATAGGTTTATATATCTGTGGAATGACCAGGGTGGGACAAAGGACTCTTGTCTGCTGGAGCTAGGTGTGAATGTTTCAACTGACCACCTTGATTAGCATCTGATGGCCTGGCAGTTGTTTGGTGTGGCTTGTTGGTGCCTGGGGCAATCTTTTGTTGAGAGGTGATAAGATGGCCTTGATTGTTTCCCCTCTGTTGTTTTGCTGTTGTAATTTTAGAGTTTTTTTAATACTGGTAGCCAGATTTTGTTCATTTTCATGGTTTCCTCCTTTCTGTTGAAAGAGGTTATAGGTTGCAAAACAGGATTTTGATATATTTCTCTTTCAATTTACCAATAAACTCAGTGAATGTACAAAAACCATGTTTTTTTCTGATTCATCGAAACTGCAAAGTGGGGGGTCCAATTTGAAGTTGATAAGCAATCTCTCTGGACCACTCTCACAACCACCATGTCAGGCTACACAGAGAAGCCATTGAAATCCACAAACATGTGGACAATTTCAACAGAAAGGAAGAAACCATGAAATTGAACAAAATCTGGCTACCAGCATTAAAAAATTCTAAAATTGCAACAGCAAAAACAGCAAAGAGGAAACAGGCAGGGACATCTAATCACCTTTCAAGAAGAGTTTGCTCCAGGCACAGTCAGCCCATTGTATGCTAATCAAGGTGGTCATTTGAAAGATTCACACCTAGCCCAACTTACAAAAGCCCTTTGTCTCACCCTGGTCATTCCACAGATATATAAACCCCTTTTTCCCCAGTTCCAGCAGACCTCTGAGGATGCTTGCCATAGATGCAGGCGAAACGTCAGGAGAAATACCTCTAGAACATGGCCATATAGCCTGAAAAAACCCACAAGAACTGAATCTCTCATCCTTTGGCAGTATATGCATTTTCTGTAAATAGATCAAGTCATGTCCCATTGGAAAACACATCTGTGCACCAAGAGAAGTAAAAAATGAGATGTTATGACACATGTAATTTTTGGAGATGTTTATACAGGAAAAAATGTGAGTCTTAGAATTGGAGAAATGAATATATACTTTTGGAAAACTTACACCAACTCTAAGGTCACTCTTTTATTAAAAATATATATGCAATTATTTCAAAATATTTCAGCTGTGTATATTCTTTCCTAAGATGTCAACTACATGCAAAACTGTCTCCTCTCCTGCATGGATTTTATAATAAGATGTGTGGTTACTCGTAGAACTAAGAGGGCATCTACATTACTGAATCAATACAATGACATGGTAGCCCAGATTTAGCCTTAAGTTGGACACATGAGATGCAGAAGAGTATTTATTTCCCCTCACGCAAAGTCTGTCTATAGTTTCCCTTTTTTGTGAACTTTCTTATGCCCAGCAAGGCTTGTACTGTGACTGAATCTTTGTCCACACTCAGAGCATTGATAGGGTTTCTCCCCAGAATGGCTCCTCTGGTGAGAAGTGAGTTCCGGCCCACTTCTGAAGCTTTTTCTGCACTCAAAGCAGGAATACGGCTTCTCCCCAGTGTGGATTTTCCGATGTGTAAAAAGGGTTGCACTCTGAGTGAAGCTTTTCCCGCACTCCAGACACGTATAGGGCTTCTCTCCAGTGTGAGTTCTTTGGTGATGCTCAAGGGCCGTCCCCGTTTTAAAAGCCTTTCCACACACGGTGCAGGGATAAGGTCTCTCTCCTGTGTGGATTCTCTGGTGGGTGGTAAGGTGGCTTCTCTGAGTAAAGGATTTTCCACATTCAGGACACTGGTAGGGCTTCTCCCTCATATGAACTCTTCGGTGCACGATGAGGTGTGGACTCTGATGGAAGGTCTTCCCACAATCAGAGCATTTGTATGGTTTTTCCCCCGTGTGTACCCTCTGGTGTACAATTAGGTCCCACTTATGAGCAAAGCGTCTTCCGCATTCGGGACATGCATAGAGTTTCTCTCCAGTGTGAACCTTCTGGTGTGATTTGAGGGCAGAACTACTACGGAAGTTGTTTCCACACTGCGGACATGTAAAGCGTTTTTCCCCAGTGTGGATCTTCTGATGCTCAGCCAGACCGCCTTCATAACCAAAGCTTTTCCCACATTTCATGCATTTATAGGGCTTCTCCCTGGTGTGGGTTTTTTGATGTTGATGTAGACTTCTACTGAAGGTGAAGCTCTTTCCACATTCCAAGCATACATATGAATTTGTCCCAGTGTGAGTTTCTTGATGGCGACGTAGATAAGAATTCTGAGTGAAATTCTTTCCACACTGCATGCATTTATACAGTTTCTCCTGAATGTGAGTCCTTTCATGGGAACGTAGATGACCATTCTGAGTGAATCTCTTCCCACACTGCACGCATTTATAGGGTTTCTCCCCTGTGTGCGTCCTTTGATGCGAACGTAGATTACCACTCTCAGAGAAGCTCTTCCCACACTCCAGGCATTTATAGGGTTTCTCCCCAGTGTGAATTCGCTGATGTGATTGTAGATGTGCCCTCTGAGTGAAACTCTTCCCACACTCCAGGCATTTATAGGGTTTCTCCAAAAAATGGGTTCTTGGATATGAATGCAGACCTCCGGTTTCAGTGAAGCTCTTTCCACACTCTGGTTTATTCTCTGTACGGATTCCCTGATTGCAAAAATGTACAAATGGTTGTTAAGATATAAAATGGGAAAACAACAAGCAAAATATCATATGTATTGTCGAAGGCTTTCATGGCTGGAATCACTAGGTTCTTGTGGGTTTTTTCAGGCTATAGAGCCATGTTCTAGAGGCATTTCTCCTGACGTTTCGCCTGCATCTATGGCAAGCATCGTCAGAGGTAGTGAGGTCTGTTGGAATTAGGACAATGGGTTTATATATCTGTGGAATGGCTGGGGTGGGGCAAAGAGCTTTTCTCTGCTGCAGCTAGGTGTGAATGTTTCAACTGACCACCTTCATTAGCATTTGAAGGCCTGGCTGAGCCTGGGAAAATCTCTTGCTGAGAGGTGTTAAGATGTGCCTGGTTGTTTCCTCTCTGTTGCTTTGCTGTTCTAATTTTAGACTTTTTTAAATACTGGTAGCCAGATTTTGTTCATTTTCAAGGTTTCATCCTTTCTGTTGACATTGTCCACATGCTTTTGGATTTCGATGGTTTCTGTGTAGTCTGACGTGGTGGTTGTTAGAGTGGTCCAGCATTTCTGTGCTCTCAGATAGTATTTATTATTTATTTATTTGATGCACTTATTAACCGCCATTCTCAGCCCTTACGGGCGACTCATGGCGGTGTACAGTACATATAAAAAGACAATTACAAAGGTCAGTGACAACAACATATAACTATGCACAAATACAAACTACATAAAAATCCGCTTCGTCTCTTAGTAGAATCATAGTCAGTCTCATAGTCCTTATACCATTCCAGTTCTCATTACCGTAATATTGTTGCTTAGCACTTAATTAAATGCCCTCTCGAACAGCCAGGTCTTAAGGCTTTTTCGAAAGGACATGAGGGAGGGCGCCTGTCTGATGTGTGCTGGGAGAGTGTTCCACAGCCGGGGGGCCACCACTGAGAAGGCCCTCTCCCTCGTCCCCGCCAGCCGTGCCTGTGATGCCGGCGGGATCGAGAGAAGGGCCTCCCCAGACGATCTCAAGGTCCTCGTGGGCTCGTAGGCCAAGATGCGGTCAGAGAGGTATTTTGGGCCGGAACCGTTTAGGGCTTTGTAGGCCAAGACCAGCACCTTGAATTGGGTCCGGTAGCAAATCGGCAGCCAGTGGAGCTGGGACAACAAGGGCGTTGTGTGCTCCCTGCTACCCGCTCCAGTTAGTAACATGGCTGCCGCACGCTGAACCAGCTGAAGCTTCCGGGCCGTCTTCAAGGGCAGCCCCACGTAGAGAGCGTTGCAGTAATCCAATCGGGATGTGACAAGAGCGTGTACCACCGTGGTATGATGCGTCCAGGTTGAGTCATCAAGTGCTCTTTGAAGCTGCAAGGCTTCAAAGAGCACTCAAACAGACAAGAGTTCTTTCTCCCACCTTGGACATTCCACAGATATATAAATCCCACTTGCCCAGTTTCCAACAGACCTCACAACCTCTGAGGATGCCTGCCATAGATGTTGGTGAAACGTCAGGAGAGAATGCTTCTGGAATGTAGCCATACAGCCTGGAAAACTCACAGCAACCCAGTTTGAAGTCTACTCTGTGCATTGATTGGAAAGAAAACTTTTACAAGATGGATAGCTTATGTACCTGCGTTGGCCAGGTATCCATTTCCTAATGATATTTATGAGAAATACAGTGATACCTTGACTCAAGAGTTTGATTTGCTCCATGACTGAGCTCTTAACTCCAAATGCTCTTATCTCAAAAAAATCTCTGAAAACCCCAAGTTGAGTTACGTTTTTGTAAATAAGAAAATGTACTTTATCAATAACAAATAATGTTTAAATGCACATTCACATGGAGCAATAGAAAAGACCAACTTTAGAATGGTAGAAGCACAAAATTGTGGCACAATGGCAGAAGCACAAAGTTATGGAGAGGAAGCACAAAGCACGAAACGAAAAGACAGAAGCATCACTTTCTTCATACTGAAAAGATATATATTTTTAGGGGCACAAAATGAGTCTGCTTGGGAAGCAGGTCAATTATTGTCTAAATCAGTGTTTCTCAACATTCCTAATGCCGCGACCCCTTAGTACAGTTCCTCCTGTTGTGGTGACCCCCAACCATAACGTTATTTTCGTTGCTACTTCATAACTGTAATTTTGCTCCTGTTATGAATCATAATCTAAATATCTGATATGCAGGATGTATTTTCATTCACTGGACCAAATTTGGCACACATACCTGATACACCCAAATTTGAATACTGGTGGGGTTGGGTGGATTGATTTTGTCATTTGGGAATGTTGGAGTTGCTGGGATTTATAGTTCACCTAAAATCAAAGAGCCTTCTGATCTCCATCAATGAGGGAATTGAATCAAACTTTGACACACAGAATTATCATGACCAAGAGAAAGTACTGGGAGGGTCTGGTGAACATTGACCTTGGGTTTTTGGAGTTGTAGTTCACCTACATCCAGAGAGCACCGTGGACTCAAACAATGATGGATCTAGATCAAACTCGGCACAAATACTCAATATGCCCAAATGTGAACATTGGTAGAGTTTGGAGAAAATAGTTGTAGTTGTTGAGATTTATAGTTCACCCATAATTAAATAGCATTCTGAACCCACCGATAGAATTGGACCAAACTTTCCACACAGAACTCCCATGATCAACAGAAAATACTATGTTTACTGATGGTCTTTGGCGACCCCTCTGACACCCCCTTGTGACCCCAGAGGGGTCCCGACCCCCAGGTTGAGAAACACTGGTCTAAATGGTGTTGCATCCTTTACTTTCAGGCAGGCCAACGATAAAATCCATAGCATTTTGCCTCTGCCACTGACTGCAACAACCCTGTGGGCTTTCCCAATTTTTGCATAGCCTTGGCACATACATTGCATTGCTGAATTTATTTATTTATTTATTTATTTGAGGCACTTATAGACCGCCATTCTCAGCCCTTACGGGCGACTCATAGCGGTGTACAGTACACATAAAAGACAAATTACAAATCAGTGTCAAAAACATATAACAACAATTACAGACTACACAAAAATCCGCTTCGTCTTTTAATAGAATCATAGCCAATCTCATCATCCTTGTACCATTCCAAATCTCATTACCGTATTATTTGTTTCTTAGCACTTAATTAAATGCCCTCTCGAAGAGCCAGGTCTTAAGGCTCTTCCGAAAGGACATGAGGGAGGGCGCCTGTCTGATGTGTGTCGGGAGGGTGTTCCACAGCCGGGGGGCCACCACCGAGAAGGCCCTCTCCCTCGTCCCCGCCAGCCGTGCCTGTGATGCCGGCGGAATCGAGAGAAGGGCCTCCCCAGACGATCTCAAGGTCCTCGTGGGCTCGTAGGCCAAGATGCGGTCAGAGAGGTATTTTGGGCCGGAACCGTTTAGGGCTTTGTAGGCCAAGACCAGCACCTTAAATTGGGTCCGGTAGCAAATCGGCAGCCAGTGGAGCTGGGACAGCAAGGGCGTTGTATGCTCCCTGCCACCCGCTCCAGTTAGTAACATGGCTGCCGCGCGCTGTACCAGCTGAAGCTTCCGGGCCGTCTTCAAGGGCAGCCCCACGTAGAGAGCGTTGCAGTAGTCGAGGCGGGATGTGACCAAAGCGTGTACCACCGTGGCCAAGTCAGACTTCCCAAGATACGGGCGCAGCTGGCGCACGAGCCGAAGCTGTGCAAAAGCTCCCCTGGTCACCGCTGAAACCTGGGGATCCAGGCTCAACGATGAATCCAGGGTCACACCCAGACTGCGAACCTGCGCCTTCAAGGGGAGTGCGACCCCGTCCAGCACAGGCTGTAACCCTATATCCCGTTCGGCCTTACGACTGACCAGGAGTACCTCTGTCTTGTCTGGATTTAGTTTCAGTTTGTTCGCCCTCATCCAGACCGTCACAGCGGCCAGGCACCGGTTCAGGACCTCGACAGCCTCCTTAGTAGCAGGTGGAAAGGAGTGACAGAGTTGGACATCATCTGCGTACAGATGACACCGCACCCCGAAACTCCGGATGATCTCACCCAGCGGTTTCATGTAGATGTTAAACAGCATGGGGGACAGTATGGAACCCTGTGGCACCCCACAAGACAAAGGTTGTGGAGCGGAACAGGAGTCCCCCAATGACACCTTCTGAGTGCGACCCTCCAGAAATGACCGGAGCCACTGCAAAGCAATGCCCCCAAGACCCATTTCCGCAAGGCGCCCCAGAAGGATACCGTGGTCGACGGTATCGAAGGCCGCTGAGAGGTCCAGGAGCACCAACAGGGACACACTCCCCCTGTCTAGCTCCCGGCGCAGATCATCCACTACGGCGACCAAGACCGTCTCAGTACCATGTCCCGGTCTGAAACCAGACTGTGCCGGATCCAGATATCCGTGTCTCTCAAGAATACCTGGAGTTGTGAGGCCACCACGCTTTCCATGACTTTGCCCAAAAAGGGAAGATTGGAAACAGGCCGAAAGTTGTCAAATTTAGTGGGGTCCAGTGATGGTTTCTTCAACAGCGGCTTTATAATAGCCTGTTTTAGGCTCGCTGGAATCTTGCCTTCCCGAAGGGAGGCATTAACCACCACCGTTACCCACTCAGCCAATCCCCCTCTGGCCTCTTCAGAAGCCAGGATGGGCAGGGGTCTAGGATGGACGTGGTAGGCCTCATTCCTCCAAGTATCTTGTCCACATCCTCGGGTTTCACAAACGGAAAAGAATCCAACAAAATAGGACAAGCAGGTGCTCTCGTTACATTCTCGGAGTCTGCATCTAACGCGGCGTCCAGCCCAGAACGGATCAAGGCGACTTTGTCTGCGAAGAACCGAGCAAATGCTTCACAGCGTGCGACCGAATTGTCAGGGCTCCCACCTGGAGTGGTGGGAGTTAAAAGACCTCTGACAATCCGAAACAACTCCGCCGGACGGTTCTTTGCAGACGCAATAGTGGCCGCAAAGAAAGTTTTCTTTGCGGTCTTTATTGCCGCGGCATATGCCCTAAGAAAGGACACAAACCGTGCTCGGTTTGACTCGCTCGGTTCCGAACGCCACACGCTCTCTAGTT